GGATAGAGTAGGGTAGACGGCGGCGGACGGCGGTCTAGCGGGCCTTCATCATGATCTCCTTCTATTTACCACGCACACGCGTAACGGTGGACTTTATGACATAGGTTGTTCTTTCCGAATACGGTGGTGGCTTTGGCGATCTCAAATCGGGCTTTGTCAATCGTTAAGCACGTTGCCCAGCACACTTAAACCTTTGGCTTAAAGCCGACAAGGGTCAAGATTTGATGAACCAAGCTGCTCGCAAATATGATTGGCCACATAGTCGTGGGGATTCGATGTCTCGGCTCGGGAGAAAATCTCGGTGCTGGAAAAGTTCAAGCTTTCAGGGTTTAGGCCATTCCCCGAAGTGTTTGGACCTCGCATTTTTCACATCCAATATGCACTTGCTGCGATTTCTGACTTGGATCAGTTTCCAAAACTTCCACCAGGTGGTCAGTGATCAGTTGGTGTGTTCGGCTGCCAGCTGATATGAAGGCATCCGGTCTTCCAACTCAACACAAGAGGCATGCTAGCAGTTAATGTTCCGTAGCCTGAACGATGTCGTCAAAAGTGTCAAGTTCTCGGCCATCTAGGTTCTTCCAACGAACAGTGTTGACGTACCTTGATCAGGATTATCGGCATTACTACGGCATTTATTTGGATATTTGCAGCGATGCCATGACATTGCATCGCTGATGACAGCACAACCCTCAGATGTATTTTTTGCTGTTGCGGTGCATCTTGTTGAGCTGGCTGAGCTTGGCTGTAGTCGATGGCTCTGCCGGTGGCATTGTCCGAGGTGCTGTGTGGCGAAGCTTTATGGCAACAGCGCGAGCAGCCAGCACGTTTTCTTGACATGGTGTACCATCTTGGGGTGCTGCTGCATTCCATAACAGGACAAGGAATATTTCCTCGACATCGCTGGTGATGGGTTTGCAGTGGCTTCTTCTGGTAAAGAGGCATGGCCGTGCAAGCAAGCAGTCCTGGCACTGAACGTTTCGCCGGTTAGCAGGCAGATCCTGCAGAGGTGGGGACGACTGCACGGGCACGGACATTGCTGTGTTGTACCTTTGCGTTCGGTGACGACAGTTAATGTGGCAGATTTGAATTGTGTGCAAGGCAGCTGAATTGGTGGAGCTGCTGCAAGGAGGAAGTTGGTCAGCCCTCAGCAAACCAAGCTGACACTTTGACTACAGTGGTGCAGTGCAATTGGCGAGCTGCGGTTCCCAGGCGTTCTTGCAACAACATCAACGACTGTCTAGCAGAGTGCGTCAGGGCCTGAGCCATTCGAAGGTGACATTGCCAGGTCACAGCTGGAGGTCTCCAAGTTAGACATTCTGTTTGAAGGGATACTTCGACCCGAACTATGTGCTTGTTGGGTCTGACCTCAGGGATGCGGGTTGAAATTCGGCAAATCCTTTTCCAGCATTATCCACGACGCATCCCCCATACGCCGACACACAACGGTCAGTTGTGGCTGGCAAAAGGTTTGATGTGCTTGTCCTAATGTTGTCATTGAGAACTGTGCATGCTAGTCTAGGGGGGCATGAGCTGTTCAGGATTACAGTATCATGTGATAAAGGATAAGTCTGTACAGGAGGAGCAGGCGCGGTTTTGCAGCGCAAGGGCAAACCTGGACCTCGTACATGGTGTGATGTCTTGTTGTTGTCATGCAGGTTGCCACAGGATGCAGCTGCAGCCGGTCAATGAATCCCATTGCTCGCGACGGCTTCTTAAGGACACTCAGAGCACGCATTGTGGCTGAGTTCTGGTTGTTGCAATTGTTGTTGTTTGTTGGATTTGGAGGATGGCCGTGGATCGTCTCCGCAGCAACGGCCTTGGCCAGGCCGAGGTCGCGCCGCGCTTTTCCGTTTCCTTGATTTGCCGGCGCTCCACCTGGCAATTCATCAAGGTGTCTGCTGCTGCTTGCATCGAGTCTTGCGCAGCTGCTCCGGTCACCTTGACACCTCGGTCTTGGAGCCAAACCCATGCAAACCAAGCTATTTCTAGATCCTTCTTGCAGTACGGCACAGCCAAACAGCGGTTTCAACAGGGGGTTCACATGGATGCAGCTGGAGCTGGATGCCTACTCGCGGCTCCTGCCTGGCCAGCGAGTGATCTTGCAAGGTCTCTCTGCTGCAGAGCTCAATGGGCAAACAGGGCGACTTGAATCTTTTCATGCTGATCGCGGCCGATGGGCAGTGTGCCTGGGCAACACGCGGAAGCTTCTCAAGCCAGACAACCTGCAAGTAGTTAGCTGTGCCTTTCAGGGAAATGTTGTGACGGACATATTGTCCGAAGATCTCTTTTTCCGTGTGTGCCTTTTCCTGCCAGCACCAACACTGCTTGCGTTCAGTGGAACCTCGAAGATCACACGATACTATGTGGTAGGGAGCGACGAGTGTTATTTGCTGTGGCGATCACTGTGTTACGAGATGCTTGGTGAGTGTTTGATCAGCCTACACATAACTGCTTGGGCTGATGGCCAGACGGACGCGGTGCAGCAAGACAGGGGATTCTGGAAGATTTTGTTCGTTTCGGCTTACGGGTGTCCACGGTTCTGCTATGACCACCAGCTTCGTGAACGATGTATGCATGGGAGTGATTTTTTCAGAAAGGCACTCGTGCCCAAAGAAACACATCCCTATGAGGGTGGAATGATGATAGTTCACAGCGGGGGTTTTGAGAGACACAAGCGCGAGACACTGAGTGCCAGTGGCCATACAGCTTGTGCACTCGGAACGAGGGTGTACATGATTGGTGGCTGGCGACCCTGGGCCACAGAGGAGGACCTGCATGTTTGCGTGGTGGACTTTCGGGGCAGCTCCATCAAGGAGCCACTGCTGGCCGATGACTCCGACCGCCCAGAACGGCGCCTCCGGCATTCCAGCTGCGTTGTACAGACACCTTCGGGCGAACAAGCTATTCTCGTTCTCGGTGGCTGCAACGATCGAACGCACGATCCCTGTGACGGGCTGCAAACGCTGCTACTGTTACAAACGGATCTGAGCGACACAAGCAAGCTTACGTGGAGGAAGCTGTCTGCAGGTGGATACATGCCCAAAGCTATTTGGCATCACACAGCCGATTCGTTTGCTTCTGGACGACGCGTGGTCGTCTTCGGTGGTGACATACCAACCCGAGATCCCGAGTTTACCTTTATTGGTGATCGGGCGTATGCGAATTACGTTTATGTTCTAACTATGGAGACACAGCAGTGGGCCCGTGTTCAGACTGATGGGCATGTCCCCGGGTGGAGGTCTTTGCATGCCGCGGTGACCTTCACATCGTTTGAACACAACTGCGAGCAGCTTGTTATGGTAGGCGGTTGCGAGGACCGCGTTGAGATTTTCAATGCTGGCAAGCCTGCCAAGATGATTGCATATGCTTTGAATCTAAGAACCATGAAGTGGAGGCGGGGTCCAGAGAGAAAAAAGCAGAACGATGCTCGCGCGGTCTTCCTCCCAGCACCCCGGATGCGTTTTGCAGCACAGCGCTATGGGCGTCACCTGCTCGTGTATGGCGGTCATGGCAACGGCACCATTCCGGAAGACGAGGGGCTGCTGCTCCTGAACTCAAACTCGTTGGTCTGGCAGAGAGCCACCGTGCTCAACGAGGCCTCGGAGTTCGGCGTTGTGCCGGCTGCCGCGCTGGCAGCCGGCTGTGTTATAGGTGGAGTGCAGCTGGGCTCGCGCGGGGCGCAGCCTGTGCCGAAGCTGGACATGCTCATTCTCGCCGAGCCGACCCAGGAACAGGCCTCTCAATCCCGAATGGGCGAAGTGGCTGAGGAAGCCGTGCCGGCACTGTAAAAAATTTGGGGCAGGGGGGGGGGGGGATGGGGGGGTTTAAACATCATGTATCGTCACGGTTATGCAGCTACGCAGCCTTGGAATGCACAGGTTTCCTATGCCTCCTTGGGGAGTGGACTCTTGCGCTTCGACTTTTGCTTGTTGGAGCTCCTGCTTGCAGAAGGCGCAGCTCCCGGTCGGCTTAGGCAATGCAGACAGAAGCTCCGCCAGAATCAGAAGCGACGGCGATGCACAGGAGTGCCAGTATCAGCTGTTCACCTCGTGGACTCTCAATATGATCCGGATGCCAAGGTGTCAGACTTTTTGCAGGTTCTGTTGCCATGATTCGCTTGCATGCCCAAACTGCAGAAAGGCTAGCAAAGCTTCACAGTTTTCGTTTTTGCTTCAACGCACTGGGGCAGGGCTACCTGCGCCACCGCGTGGCACTCGCCCAGTTCGCTTCCTGGTTTACCGGCCGGGGCGTGGATGCTCCACCGCCTCGTTGCAGAAGCTTTGCCGTCTCAGACCCTTGGCCACCACCAAAGAATCTGCCAGGTTTATGCGCACTACTCCCTTGAGAGATATGCCTTTGAGGCTCGGCGCTCTGCTGTGGGGCCCTCAGCAATACACATGAGCATCTGAGTACATCTCGGTCTAGACGTGTGGAGCGAAACGAAATCGACGGTTAAGGGAGCCTCTTCACAGCTTCTTTCAGCTTGCAGCGCGGTGTTCCTTCAAAGAAGTCGGATGCTTTGGGTCAGGGCGGTGGTCACACCAAGAAACTGCCAGATGCCTGAGCCGTGGCAGACCGGGCCCGAGCAGTCGGGGCACTTCCTTCGCCAGGCGAAGGTTGCGCCGGCTGTGGGGACGGTACCGCAGCCATGCAAATCCGGGAAATGACGTACCAGTCCGTTCCGGTAAGCCGTGTGACCTATTGTCGCTGCAGGGCCAATGTCTTTGTATCAAACGACAGCAGATGCTGTGAACAAAGAGCTCAATAGTCCAGAAGCACATGCATCTGGATGAATCGCAGTGGGATTTCACCTTCCAGGAAAGGTTAAGTGTAGACTCTGTCGGCCGACGTTGCAAGTCCAGCCCGAGGCACTTCCAGCAGCAGTGGTGCAGGTTGACTGCACAGAGCTCACAGCTGTCTTCGAAAAGGAGGCTATCTGAACAGATCTGGACGGATGATGCGTGCTTCCGCTTCTCCTGACGTCAGCCCTGTCAGGTGAAACCAATGTTGGAAGAAGTGTTGCAGTACGGGGGCCTGTACTGCACCCTGACTTCACGAGAGGCCATCACGATTCTCTCTGCACTTGTTCTGATGCGGTGCTGTGCAGTCACAAGCCCCGCAGATTTCGTCTGCGCTAGTAGTAGTGGTCAGAGCAAGATATGCAGCAGTGGCTCAGTCTTAGGTCGACTAGTGGTGTTCTGATGCTGTCGGTTAGTCTCGGTGTTTCCTTCCAGGGCGCCTCTGGCGCAGGATCCCTGGGATCAACGAATGCTTGGGCAGAGGCTCTGAAAGTGCATTTGTGCTCGTGCAGGGTGCTCCATGAACCAGATGATCTCAGTTCAGAAATCATTTGACATGCAAGAGCAATCTGGATCGTGCCGAAGTTTTGCCCAAGCCCTGACAAAGCTTTCTGAGCGCGTGCTCGAAATTCTCAATCGATCCTCAGGACAGGGCTTGCTCGGGTTCCGGAAGCCGCACAGTTGAAGCGAAGCCATCGCGCCCTATGGTGCTTCGGGTTTCCAGCCCATGGTCTGTGGTGGTGAGGGGCGGTTGGTATGAGGGAGCCTGGGTGCGACTTGTACTTGTTTGTCGCATTTCAAGCTTTAGGTCAAGGGCGAATCAAAACTTTCTAAGTTCAATGTTCAGGTGACGGTTTGAAAAATGCTTCAGATTTCGGGTTTAGTGCTTCCGCCATTACAAGGTACCAGAGTGCAAGGCAAGGCATTTCGGATCTTCAAGCTTCTCGGCTTCAGGGTGTCCGGGCTTTCGGTTTCTAGAACTGTGATTCAAGCTTTGCTCCAGGCTGTAGACTTACGCATCATACGGCACTTCCACGTTACCGCTTCCATAGCCTGACACTTTGCAAAAGACCAAATTTGAGGCCTCCCAGTCCAAACGGCTTGCTGAGGCCCTTCAAGCTTGAAGGGGGCACATCAGTCGGTTTTGCAAGAATGCACGCACGTTCAGGTTCCTGAGCTTAATCCGGCATTTCGAAAGCGACAACCGACAACAACAACAACAACCATGTGATTTGGGGAAGACTAAGATGCAGCGCATTCTGCACCCTCCGGCCGGAGAAAGAAGGATTCAACACTGGTACTTGACTGTCACCCGTGTGTGCTTGCAGTGCATCTGGGTTATTGGCTTGTTGAAAATCGCATATCCCGGAATGCATTCGTTTCCATCACGACTCAGAATGATGAGAATTAAACTCGTCTAACCCTCTTTTGCTATGATTCTAGCAACCAAAGCAGCAGCAAAACTGACGACGGCGGAAAGGAAAAGTGACTTGATGTTCCATCAGATTGCCAATGTAAGTGCCGTCAGCATCCGTCCACATCAATCTTGGTGTGCTTCGTTCCAGGATGGCGGACTCCTCTGGCACGGGTCGAGGCCAAGCTGCAGCTTCTGTCCGGAACCCAGATTTGTGCCTTAAGGCACTTGCTGCTTGAATGCTTGGCACGTGTTCTCTTCAAACTGGCTCTTGCATTTTCTTAGGTTGGTGGTTCCCGCACGGCTCTGGCTCGCCGCACAACGACGAGGCCCCAAAACCTCCAAATGGCTTTGAACACGGATTCCGCAGCGCGTTCTGGCACAGGTCCGGCGCCGCATCTGGAGGAGCCAACAGTGGCAAGAAGGTGCTGTGAGACGGTATAGTCGGTATAGTGTTCCCGAGCCACTAGCTCGGTTCTGGGTTTACCTCATGTGTGATTAGCGGCTTAGCAGCTCTTCAGAAGGAAATCGTGGAAGCGTGAAAAACAGGCGGGCGGCGGTGGAGGAATTCTCAAGTTCTACAGCGATGACACTCCTGGTCTCAAGGTCCTGAGCCTGTGGCAGCATGTGGCGGGGTGTGCTCGTTTGCTTCGCAGCTCGGAGGTGGGCCCCACCACTGTCCTGGTGCTGTCGCTGGTTTTCATGGCCATTGTGTGCCCCTGGACTTAAAGTGCAGTAATGTGTGCCATGAGCGTTGTGGGCTGAGCGAATGCTGAGGCTCCTTGCACATTTTGGGCAAATTTCGAAGTGGCTAAAGGCGCGAGACGTGGGCGGCCAAGCTGGTGTAGCTCGCCCATAGTGTGACCTCTTGCACGTCCCGAAATCCTAGGCTTCGTGGAACTGCGCCAAGATGGCTTGTCTGAGCTGAGTCAGTGGGATTCCCGGCGAGACCTTATGGGACACAGGGTGAGATCTAATTTCTAAGCTTGCTTTTCTTACTTCTGGTGCACGAGAGAGCCGGCGCATTGGGAGTCCGAGCCAGAACGGCACAAAGGATGCCAGGCCGAGCCAGAGCCAGAGACTGGCTCAAAACAGCCTGTTTTGAGGAGCCTTCCGCTGCGCCGTAGAAACCGCCCCAAAAAGAGAGCGCTTGCGCTTCGACGCTTCAATGTGCTTTGCGGCTATCTGCCCATCTGCATCCTATTGCGAAGCTCTCATGTGAATGTGCCAGTTCTGGCGATTGCATCCGGACACTGGTCGCATGAAGCTGGAGTCATTGACCTGCTTCAGGCAGGGCACGTTGAATGTCCGGGATGCTGCGTGAGCGCCTTGCATCTGCAGGCCTGGTGATCGAAGCCTGAAGCTCGGAACGCGTATTCATCTGCAAATGTGTGCGAAGCCAGGGATTCATTGCAGGTGGGACGCAGGTGGACGTCAACGAGCCCTTGCCTCGCGCGGTTGATCACTGACAGAAAACTGCCGAGCCAACAAAGTTGTGTCGGCTCGTGACCCTTTGCGAAGTGATGAACTGCAACCGGAACTTGGGTGGCGCAGCTATTTGGCTGAATGCGCGGCGCCCGTGCGATTCTAGCATTCCGGGGCTCTGACGATGGTGTGCCAGAGCCTCTTGCTGCACACGCACAGGCCTCGGCTCAGCCTAGAACGAAGCAATCTGCACCTGAAACTACCAAGCCCGAAGCCCACGCTTCCAGTCGGCATCCCAATTTCCCTCAGCCAACAGCCCGCTGTTGAAATCTTAGGATCGCTAAATTATGATAAATAGTCAAATAGTTAGTGAGATAATGTACATTTCGCTCTCTCTCTTATCCCTCTATCTCTCTCCGCTCTCTCCCTCTCTTTTTCTCCCCCTCGTTCTCGCTCTCGTGCTCGTGCTCTCTTTCTCTCTCGATTGCACAAGTCCGAGTCGGGCGGCAACTCGCCAGTCCGCCAGAGCCGTCGTCTGTGTGGGGTCACGGGCTCACGGTTGGAGCAGGGCTACACGCATATCTTTATGTGCATACGCGTTTTTTCGACACAAACATGGCTTACAGCTTTCAAGCTGCAGCGATTCTACAGATCATTCCGTAGCGGCTGCACGTGTAAATGGACTCAACACTCGTTGACACACACACACACACAGAGGTTTACATGCCCGCAAATTTTTCGATAAATCTGATTACTTGAGCATACATATCACTTATATATATATATATATAGATATGTATGCATGTATGCATGTATGCATGTATTCATATACGTATGTATGTACGTATGTATGTACCTATGTTTGTACGTATGTATGTATAGTTGTATGTATGTATGTATGTATGTATGTATGTATGTATGTATGTATGTATGTGTGTATGTACATGTGTGTATATATATATGTGCAGACATTCACAAATACGTAACTGTATCTATACCTACATCTAGATCTAGATCTGTGTAATTTGGCAGTGACGTAGGTACTTTAGATAGTGCGATGGATGGACTGATGAATACACATTGATGCAGATGTAAGCATGTGTAAATATACAGAGAGGGAGAAGAAGACGACGGTAGATCGAGGCTCCTCCTGGTGTCCTTGCCCTGGCGAGCCTTTGCGCAGGACTTTGCGGAGGCAACTGCACAGTTCAGTTGTTTCGAAAGACCCGGCTAAGCTGCACCAAGGCACTTAGGACTTGTATCAATCCCGCGAACGAGATGCAACAAGGGGACGAACAGGGGAATATCATGTTCAACCCACGGAATTTTCAACGCTAAGCCAAAAGCGGACAAGCCTCGGTGCTCGGATTTTGGCTTTGCCGTCTTTGCAGTCACTGAAATCTCTAAAAGCATCCTCAACCCTCGGTGCCGAGTGCTTGGCCAGGCCCAGCGACACTATCGGGAGGCCGTGCACAATGGCCTCTGCCTTAGCTGGCATGAAGCGGAGGTGCAGAAGCCAGAGATTGTGAGCTTCCTATTCCGAGCTTTCAGCCCTGTTGATCAGGCGAGATCAAGGATCATCCACCTGTCCATGGTGACCTCAAAATCCCAGAGCCTAGCTTGGCATGTGGTGAGCGAATCTGCTGTTGCTGCGGCTACGTCTTCTTTGTGCAGGCTTCTGTCTGGATGCTTTACTTCATTCGAGACCTGAGGACATGGATAAGCTCAACAAGGTAATAGATCCAGCAGTTGCTCCGAAGGCCTTGGACTTGAATAGTGCTCCTTCGAACCACGTCCCTGATGTCTCTGCAAGCAGTCCTCCACGCCAGGCGGTCAATGTGCTAGGCAAGAAGGGTCCAGTGCCCTTCTCAGTCAAGCAGATCAGGGAGACAGGGCATCCGCTGTGACGGTGTTATGAACCCTCGTCTCACTCGTGTTTTCTGAAGCTGGAGAGTCTTTCTAGCTTCCTCTTGATCTTGAGCTTTAGCAAGTCGTCATGAGTTTTCCCGGCTTCAAGTTTCGGCTCCCCGCTTATGGTGACATGCGAGTGCAGATCCCACCATCCACCATCCGCAGGTTCTGTCCTTCAACTCTCTCCCTCTCTCTCTGCCTCCTCTGCCTGCGTGCCTCGCTGCCTCCCTGCCTCCCTTCCAAGCGTGCAGCAAGATTTAAACATGTGCAAAGCAGCTGCTTATGCGCGACACTGTCCGCTGGACGTTTGTTGAACCTGCAATTGAGGTGGATCCATCGAAGCTCGACGCAAGCAACACCACCCAACTGGAGTCACTCGTGGACATGCTGAAACACGACAAGCAATACAAGGAGGCTGGAACTTGGCAGGGTCGCTGAGTGTGACATGCACGGAGCGCCAGGAACAGAAGGAGTTGAAGAAAAAGGCGGATGCTGCAATCCTTCATTTCCAGAACAGCTACAAGGCACGAGGTGGTTGGGAGGTGAGGTGCCGTCCCCACTTTCTAGGCTTTCGGCCGTATGTTGGGAGGCCATGGCAGACAGGGGCATCAAGGGGGCCACGTTCGACAAGAGCTCTCTGATCGAAGACGCGAAGGAGCAGCGGATCAAGGAGCCGCTGGAGCTCGGAATGCTCTGACTGCATGTTTCTCGAGAGTTGGAGCATTGCAGGAACTTCCAGGGCCCTGGCAACTCTGGGGCTCTTCCGGACTTCTTCTGGCCGGAACCTGAGCAGCCTTGAACGCTCTCGTCGCCTCGCGCTTTTGGACACAGGTCCTGGGAGTAGCCGCTGCCGTCTCATTGGGAATCGTCGGCTTCAGAAGAGGCCTCCGGGGTGTGCGTCAGTGCAGGCCCTAGGTTTGTCAGCGGCCGACGTGAAAGGCTCCTTGAAGCGTGCACAGGATCTCTAGCTGGTTCCATCGCAAGTTTACACGACGGTCGGCTAGCCTACAGAAGACTCGGAGTGTTGCTCATGCGTCCCAGAACATCCATGTCATTCTTCCCCGACCCGTGCAGCTCGCGTGGCTGCGGACATTGTGCTCCTGACCGATGCCTCTGACTTGGAGAAGTAGGTGAGTTTGTGTTTGCCCAGCTTTCCGTTCAAAGCAAAGCTGGATCCCTCGGCTGAAACTCACGATGTGACGGGCTTCTTCACCGACGTAGACCCGGCATGTTGTGGCCACAAGTCTCACCCAAGCCGAACCACAGAGCACATCCGGTTGGAAGTAGCTTGGCTTGTGCGAAAAGCACAGGCGAGTCAAAGAAGCCCGCTGTGCAAAAAAGGCACCAAGCGAGCTGAACACAGTCTATCGTCATTCCGGGTTACGACAGTTTGCAAATACGTAGAGTATTTTTTCCGTAAATCGCACCTTCCAGCATGAAAGGGTGTGAGGTGTGTTGAGGCATGGTGAGCTATCGTCGGCGGCTCGAGTGGCTGGAATTCCGCGGCCGAAGGACCTCGTCAAGGTTGCTTTTTGAGGGACTTAAGAGGTGCGATGGATCTCGAGAAGCAGGCCCTCGAGATGGCGGAGAAGGCGAGACGTGTGCCCAAGGGGAGTCTCTTCCTTTTCAACCCAGTGTGATCCATTTGGCCGGACGTCCTTGGTCAGGCCCTGGCCTCGCTTCCGGCCGCGGCGCGCGCCGCCAAGCTGGACTCGGCGCGGAGACCCCAAAGAACTGCGCTTAACCCATGAAATGCCATGCAGGTGCAACTTTGTGCTGTCTGCAGGTGAAGGCGGGCATCCTGAAGAGGTTGCAAGCGGGCAGCGTTTCGCGGCCGGCAGCCCCGGCCCCGGCTCCCCCTGTGCCGCCCCCACCGCCCCCACCGCCTTCCGAGCCCAGCCCGGAAAGGGAAGGCTCTTCGGCGACAGGGGTGGAGGGCGTGGAGCTTTTCGGCGATGTGCCGTGGTTCGCAGACTCGGAGCTCCGGGCCCGACTCTTGGAGGATGTGAGGCAGGCCCACGCTGCTGAGAAGATCCTGGTGGCTTCGCCGATGGAGGAGATCCCAAGGATCCTTCCAAAGAGCGGCCAAGTGCTGGGCGCTGGAGCCGTGCTGCGTCTGGGCGGGGTGCACCATGGCGGCTACGGAGAGTCGGACATCAACTATGCCTACCGCCAGCTCTCCCGAGCCCTGCATCCCGATAAGAACCCTGGCATCGAGGAGGCAGCTTGCATTTTGCATCTGTGAAGCTCATTGCGTCCGCTCCGCGAAGAGGCTCACGATGCCTTCAAGCGCCTGGGGGAGGCTTCAGAGGACCGTTTGGAAATGAAGAGTCTTGTGGATGGCGTCCCTGGTTGTCTAGAGCCTTTGAACAGCGCGAGCCTGTTTTGCTTTAGGAGCTGCGTGGCATCCTCCAAGAGTCCCGAAAAGCGCTGCAAAGCCTGTGACTTTGTCGGCACCACAGGGCCGGGCCTGTGTCGCTGCCTCACGTTCCAGGGTCCAAAGTGCGAGACAAGATAGCTCTTGCTGCTGCTACTGCTGATAGGGTCGGATTGGATTGCCAAGCTTCTTGCTTTTCAGTTCTGATGGTCAAAAGGATTCTTTCTCAGTCTGACCATCCTCGTGCTCCTATTATGTTTGCCGTTGCGATCAGCATTGTGCCATTGTGTTCCGTTGTAAAGATGTTACAAGTTTTGCGCTGCCCTCGTAGTGCCATTCTTGATCAAAAATCACTGATGAGTTCCTTTGCCAAACCCCGCGCTGCATCGATCGTATAAGGTGCCAGGTGACTCAGGGCGGCCCCGCTTCTGCTGAGAGCCTGGAGCGACCGACGCTTGTTTGAAGTCAGCGCGCAGAGGGGAGGGGCTGGTGGGGCCCCGGAAAGACGCTTTGTAGCAGCTAGGATGATCATGTTGCGCTACGCGGCAGATGCACAGCGCCTGCTTCTACTGCTGCTACCACTACCACCAGCACCACCACCACCGCCAGTACCAGTGCACCACCAGCACCACCAGTGCCACGAGTACCGAGATCACGACCAACGGGCTTCATCAGGCTAGGGCTCTCATTGGGAATGCTAGTTGCCTTGGACCATTGTTTGTCCTAAAGGCAACGTCAAGGGAATCATTTCACCAACCATCGTTGGACCATGTCCCATGTTTTGGCAGTTTACTCGAACCATTGGTTGGTTGCTCTACTTCTTCTTCTGTTTTGTCACGTGGTTGTAATTGCTGTGGATATTGCCCTGGTGGATGGACTGTGTAGGCGGGTTCCTGATGGAAGGTTGGGGCATCTTCGGGTCTCGTGGCGCCGTACCCGGCACCAGGCAGTGTGCTCTTCTTGCCGAAGCGAGCCGGCTGCTCGCCGCGGTTATTGCTCTATCAGGCAGTTTTGCGTCAAGCTGTGTCCCTGCTTCCCTTTTTACATGTGTGCCTTACTTAGACACTTAGTGTTGGATCTTTCGGGAGTTGCCGGACGTCGGGCCGGGGCAGCAGTGTTTCGGATTTGGGCCTCGTAGGGCAGATGCCAACTCTGTTTTCCGTGAACTTCAAAGCTTGCAGCAGGCGAAGGTATGCCCTCAGAGGCAGCGCTTCGGCGCAGCACTGCAGCCTTTGTTGCACAGCCGGCTTTCCAGGGCTGCCGGCCACAGGACCGGGTCTCAGAAACATTGCGCTGCACCTTTGGATGTCATCCAGCTGTCAGGAGCTGCTGGGCAAGTGGTCCGTGCCTCAGCAGCTGCCTCATCCGGCTTTGACGCCGTGAATCGTCCCATGAAGCTCTGAGGTACCAGGAGTCCCATCTTCTGGATCTGTTTACCAAAGCCCCGCTGCGCATCGCCTACGATTGCTCACAGAAGCCTTTCCGTGCGCAGTTCCTCTGTTCCCTCAGCCGGGCTGCCGAGGCCGAGGCAAGCGGGTCATGTCCCTCTCCCAAAGCCACGCTCATCCGAGCCTTCTACAGCCCAGCGAAGTGGAGCCATCTCGCTTCCTTAAACCTTAGTCTTTATGTCATCACGGCTATCATTCACATCGCTCGTTGCTGGTATCGATCTGCTATGCACCATGGTCAACATGAGAATCAGCTTGAGTAGTACTACTGTGCGGCTAATGTTTCAGTTGTTCAACTGGCAATGTAGTTATAGTTGGCACAGGTAGCAGTTGCTTGTATATACGTATACATATATATGCATATATATATATATATGTATATGTAGTTGTCAGCAGTACTTGTCCTCATCATCACCATCACCATCACCGTCACCGTCACCATCGCCATCGCCATCACCATCACCATCACCATCGCGATCATCATCATCATCATCATCATCATCATCGCCATCATCATCATCATCGTCATCATCATCATCATCATCCCTATCACCATTACCGTTACCTTTGCCATGACCAATACCAATACCATTACAGTTACCGTTACCATTACCATCGCCATCGCCATCGCCATCATCGTCAGCTTCGTAGACACGATTAGCACTAACCAGCACAGAAGCGTCGATTTGCTTACACAGGTTATCCTTCCGTCAGGCGAACCGCAACGACAGCTGCGTACGTGGAAGCTGGCACCAGGCGGGACACTCTCACGCCAACACTGAACCATTGAGAACAGCTGCAGGTGATGGCGCAATTTCCGGAGCTGGGGCTATGGAAAGAGCTTCAGGAGGGTTGGAGAGTTCATGGCAAGCTGCCCGAGATACCAGCCCCAACCGCCGTGAATCAGGACAAAATCCGATCACGCATATGGGCGTCAGGTCACCCCATCCCATGTTAATGGCATGGCGGGCAATTTTTTTCTGGGAAAGCTTCTATTTGAGCCAGGTGCTGCAGCGGCAGGCAAGCGCAGCCGCAACAGCAAATGGGATGACAAGTCAGCGGCTTCTTGTGCCACTGAGTGGGGGAAGAAGTGGCGGACCATTCTGCAAGATGTCTTGCCTGGTGCAGAAGCAGCGAGCCGTCCTGACGGCGACTTGGAGATTCAAAAGCTGTGTATGGTTCTCTGGAAAGACACTGCGCCTTGGGTCGGCGACGGTTTTCTGCAGCACCTTCGCCTTTTCCAGGCCAGCGACGCAGGCACGGCTCTTCAACAAAGATCCAAGCTAGGCTTAGCATTGCTGCACAAAGCATTCCAAAGAACTGTGGTAGGTCCCAGTATTGACGATGAGACAAAGTGGGCCTTCGTGCCAGCGACGGACCTCCTGCTGTTGGTCGGTGAAGGCTTGGTTGGCTGCACAGCCGAAGGCTGTTTCGTGCAGTCAGATTCCGGCGCCGCGAGGCCAGTAGAAGAAACGCTTGTTCGACGCGTGGTGTGCACTCCACTCCGTGACCGTCCGTGACCTCAGGAAGCCTTTCCTGGAGGCGCTGAAGAACTGGCGCTCGAGCCTCCGGAAGAACCGGGGAGAAACAACGACCGACTCTGCAGTCAGACTCTGGAAGTCCAGTGCCAAGAGAAACAGCCAGAAAGAGTCCGAGACGGCCAAGAGGGCACGGACCACCGAAAACAAAGAAGGAGCACCTGAAGAAGTTCAGGCAAAGTTAAACCGCTCACCGACAAAGGTTTTGCTCCTGACTAATGTGGCACCGGCCAAACAGCCAGAAGAGACCATAAAAGCCACCGTTGAGGAGTGGGTCAAGAAGTTTGGTTCGGTCAAGGAGTGCACCGTCGTGAGGGTTCCCGACGTCCCGGAAGAGGATGCCATTCGGGTGTTTGTAGTTTTCGACAGCATCAAGGCTTCGTCGAAGGCCTACGCATCCTTGCGAGGGCAGGTAACGGATGGTCGAGTGCTGCGAGCCCGATTCTACGACGAGAAGCGTTTTCAGGACGGCGAGCTCTACAAGGCACGGCCAGTGGCAACAGCTAGCTGTGCAAACTTGTGTACTGTGAGTCACACCACGACGCAGTCCCTTCTGCCGAAAGGCGATTCCCTCTCGCATGCTGGTGCTGACGAACTTGGTTCGCCCTGAGGAGCTGGATGGCGGTTTGCAGGATCCGGCAGTGCGGGCATGTCCGGTCTCGCAGTCAGCACACAACCAGGAAAGTTCAGTCTGAGCCCAGGACGAAGTGCGACACCTGGCCAAACAGCATGGCAAGTTGTGCAGATGCGTGGTCAAAACTCTCTCCGACCTTCAACCAGAGGCCGGTCCAAGTGGAGAGATAAATCTGAGATGGTACTCGATAGTCGTAGGCTCTGCGATCCAAGCTTTTCGTGCGGAGGAGAGCGTGCGCGTCTTCCTGGAGTTTAGCACAGTTGACGAGGCGGTAAAGGCTCAAGCTGCCTTGCATGGTCAAGACTTTGGACTGCATCGCATCAAGGCCAGGTACTTCAACGAAGCTCAGCTTCCCGGAGAGTGAGGATCAGACCTAAGCGACGCCGTGGACGTGCCGTGACCGTGCCGTGACCGTGACATAACCGTGCGACCCACGCAGCTCGCCTCGAGCGCGAGCAAAGAGCAACGACAGACAGGCCCAGCACAGGAAAGGCGCTCCTCCCCAGAAGACAGCTTCCGCTCTTCACGGCCTCCGGCAACGCCGAGAAAGAGAAGCTGAGATTCTGCGAGTTCTGCAATGGGCCCCAGGAGCGTCGCCAGAGCGAACGCCAAGATCCAAGATGCGCTCTTCTGTCTCCTGAAGGTCGCAGATCTACTCAGTTCCCGCGTCACGCGACAAAAGACTCAACATTGACCATTTGTATGACTTGCTTTTCAGTCAGCAAAGCTTGGTTGCGACAGCCTGGATTCTGGCTCTGCATGTTCAATGAAGGCAGTACTCCCAGCAATGTTCAATGAATCAGGCCGTCTGGCCGTGCTGGAACAAACAAAACTTTCGCCAGTGTCAGCCAGACTTGACCTGAAGTAGATTAGGTGCCAGCTGTCTAGGACTTGTAGAGCTGTGGCCATGCAGGGCCAGCCGGGTTCAACTGCGAGGCCGACGCCTAACCGCCGAGACCTGCGCAAGTATGCCCGGCTCTTTGTGAAGACGGACCAGGATGGCGACGGCTTCGTCAGCAGTGACGAGGCGTATTCGCTATTTACGAAGTCGCAGCTGCCAGAGCATATTCTGCAACAGGTTTGGGTGTTATCCAATGTAAGTGGGAGTGGCATGCTGAGCTTCCCAGAGTTCATCGCGGCCATGCATCTGATACGCGAAGCTCGCCAGACACAGCAGAGCCCGACGGCCATCTCGGGGGAATTATCAGCCTTCCTCGGAGGTGTTTCGGAGTCTGCACAGGAATTGTCTCTGGAGGGAAACTCGCGGTCTGCCCGTACCTTGCGGTCGCCCGTGGCCTTCCAGGGCGCGGGCTCCAGCCCGCATTTCGGCCACGCCCTGCCCGCCGCGCCCGCCGAGTCCTTCGGTCTCCACTCGCCGGAACTGCCGGAGTTGCCACAGACGCCGTTCCAGCCCGAGCCCGAGGAGCCCGCGACCGGCGAGGATGGCAAGAAGAAGAAAGGTCGGAAGAAGGAGAGAAAGGAGAAGAAGGAGACACCTGGTCAGGATCAGGTTCAGCCTGAGGTCTCGGAGCCTTGGGACTCGGGCCAGGTCGAGTCTGCCGCCCAACCCGACTTTGGAAGTGCAGCCGGGACCCCAGAGGGCCCTTGCCTTTCGAGAGTCTGTGCCTCTGCTTGCAAAGAAACGGTTGTATTTTATGATTCCTCTTCTCAGGCTGCCAACTGGACCACTTTTGGAAACCAGGAGACTCCTCCCGAAGCCGGCAAGGAGAAGAAGGAGAAGAAAGAGAGGAAGGAGAGGAAAGACAGAGACAGGGGACAGCAATGGGACAAAGACATTAAGGACGACAAGCAGACGAGGTTTCAGCCTCAAGCAAGCGCAGCTTGGCCGTCTGCCGAAGACCAGTGGTCCAAACCTCTGCCTCCGGAAAGTCCATCTTTAGGTGGCTTCGGTGGCTTCGGGACAGCTGGCGGAGCTCTACAAGCTAGTCAACCTCAAACCCGCATGGGCTTGCGCTTTGACTTAGACTTCGGCAAGAATGCAGATCCTGACTACATGGCGAGGCTGCAGGAGATCCATCTTCGTCCGGACTCACCTCCCGTGACCTCTCCCAAAAAGGCCGAAGCTGACGGGTGGGCAGGGCGCCGACATGATGGGCACTTCGAGAAGAGGCACGAGACCGCCTACAAGCACATGGGGGATTACGCCAGCCCCGCGCTTCACGTGGCACTGATGGGTTTCCGCTCGGCCCAAACCCAGGCCCCGGCAGTGCTGCCGGAGCCAGGAAGGCCCTTTCTGAAGACAATGACACCCCACTTCACAGTGCAGCCACCCGCAAGGGTTTTGGAGGTCGGGAAAGAGGCAATGACCCGAAGCCTGGGACGTCTGACTTTTGCACCCATGACGGCTGCCTGAAGAGGCAGCGCAGTTCGGGTTCTCGAGCTGGACCGTGCGTGCTTCTAGAGCCTACGCATTGGAGTGCTCTGCGTCTAGCATCTTCTGCCTCTAGAATATATTTTTACTGTTTCACCTCTTAGGTTCCGCAAATGTCTCTGGTGCAGGCCGTAGCTCATTGACCGGGGGAGTTATTGTCCCTCTCTTCGTTGTCCTGAGCTGCCTGCTTCGTCAACATGCCGAGCGATGCTTGAAGCGACCGCTCATGACCCGAGGGCATGACAGAGTGCGGAGTATGGAAGTACAGATGCCACGATGTGGCAGTACGCCAGTACGCTGCAGCCCGAGGTTAAGAACAAAAAGGTCCCAGCAATGTCAGTGCTTCCGAAGAGGCAGAGCACTCCGCATCCGCAGAAGGTCTCCGAATCTTTCCGGGCTCAGAGGTCTCAGAGGACGCATCCACCTCGCATGGGCGTTCGACAACGGACATTTTTAGGATCCAGATTTGTTTGAAGCGAACGCTGAGTAAGCATGGGTCTGTCAGATCATAGGAATCAAAGAAGCGTCACCAATACGTTCTGTGAGGCAGTGTGCCGTGTTACATACTGATGCAGCCAAGCAGCAATATTTGCAAAAGGGGCACGAAAAATGTCGGACAGATTCCAAAAGGGTCAGATCATATGCGAATAGACACTGTTGCTGCCGAGAAGCGTGCGCAAAGTGAGTTGATGGCACATGGCGGGGCTGACTTCTCAGCGCAGTGTTTGTATTTTGGAGCTTCTTGTTTTGACGTGCTGTCGTGACCGCAATAGAACCAGGGCAGGTTTATGTCGTGAAAGGCAGTAATCAACCCATGCCGACTGCTCCCGTGATTGCAAAGCCGTATCATCCTGCCACATGCCCCACTGAGCCGTTCCCGTGCATCTCTTTGCGGTGTGTTTACGTCCATTCTGAGCGTTTGGGGTTGTGATGGTGTAGCTAGCTGTACTCTTGCCAGCAGATCGAGAAGCGCCTGCGAGAGGGGGGGAGGACGAGAATGACTTGAGGGTAGTGTTGTCGGGTGCTGGTTGCCTGTGCAACTTCCTTAAATGCAGTCTTGAATGCGGGTGATGTTGACCAGACCCAGTGTGAGTCACACTGCAACGAGCTTCCAAGCCATAGGCTTCCGAGACCTTTTCGAACAAATACGCCGCACATTGAAGCGGAAGCACCCGCTTCAGCACCTTCTCTCAGGCGGAGCCCACGGCCCTGCGGCTCCACGTTCCGAGGAGTGCAGAGTCAGTCAGCGCGTTTGAAGCCCGGTGACAATCGTCCGACGCTCCGGGGCATTGCGCTCTCCAGCAAAGCAAGAAATCTCAGTCCGAAGCACTTAGATTCTTAGATCCCGCTAGACCCTGCATACAAAAGAACATGCTTCCATGCCTCAGCTTGACGAGGACGCCGCGTGTTGATTCGCCGGGGCCTTGTTCTGCCTTTTTCGTGCTTTCTCCCACGGGACAAAAGGAGCATTCGCTGGGCACATGCCAGTGCTTTCGGGTCGATGCGAAGCATGAGGAGGCTTCACATTTCGGCAGCTGGATGAAGACTAAAGGTTTGGTTGGGATAGCAGGTGTTAGGCACAGCCGAATGCGCTCATGCCAGCAGCTTTTTTTCACTGACAGGTTTCGGCTACAAAGCACAGTAGCTCATCTCGAGCTTATTTTGGAGGTGTTGTCCCCGCCCTTTTCCAGTAGACTCAGTAGACCATGGCTGTGTTAAACATGGGTTGTTACCAGCATGCGGCTGGCCTGGTGAGGGTCGAGCGGGGAATTCATATTGCTGCCGCAAGAAGATTAGACATCAGGGGGCGTGCCCTATGGAAGACAAGTTGTCCAAATAAGCCTGTAACTCTCCGAGCCGCAGCTCTCAGACTGTACGCCAAGGCCCTTGAGACCGAATGCAGGCGCGGCGGTTCGCTCTGTGGTCTTTGGCTCCTTTAGCAATATAGCAATAGACGGAGCCTCGGTCTCTCCTTTTCCATGCTGTGTGGAGGCGTAAATGCCACGGAGCGCAAGGTGGGAACTTCAAACTCTGAGATGCCTCCCAGTGCAGACCTTCAGCCCAAATTCCCTGAAATTCCCCTGCCGTTCTCAGATCCGTGCCTGGCAGGTTGTGGTGGGCACAGGAGCCCCGGATGGTTGGCGCTGCGGTCCGCACCACTCCACTCCTGCGGGGTAAAGTCTCGTTGAGGGCCTCTAAGCCTCATGACTGTCATGACTCATAGTGGTAGCCCAGTGGTAGCACTCTCTTCGTGGCGGCCTCCTTACTGGCCGCTCCCAGGACGGTGTGAAAGGGTCTCCGGCAGGGTCGGCGACGACCCCTGCAGTCAAAGCGGCCGGAGCCTCAGAGCTCTGCCCCAGGGCTTCTCAAGCCTTGCGATCCTTTGCAGATAAAGGCTGGACTTCGCTGCCACAGCTCTGGGCTCCTCCCATGGCCTCGAACCAAGTCGAATGAAGCGTCTTCAAAAATTGCAGCTTCCACACCTGCTCAGGCTCCAACGCTCGGTAGCACTGCCAGCACGGAGACGACACCGACGCCCAGCCCTTCGCTGAGCGGCTACCGGTGCGGCTTCCCAGTTTAGTTGACTTCAGTTTCAGGGATCTGCAGGTTGGTCTTCAGGTCTAGGTCTTTTCCTATATCTTGTGTTGTCGTTGAGACCACGAGACCAGGATGATTGCTCCACCAGCAGCGTGCTCCTATCACATCTCACATGCATTCTTGCGATGAAACAGGGCTCTGCCAAGTTGCTGGCACACCTTTAGGTCCCTGACATGTTCGGGGGTCATGATTTCTTCAAGAGGAGGGGTGTCAATTTCTTTGATGAACCTTTCTTACTCCCTGGTAGGACCTGGTAGGAAAGGCAGTGTTCGTTTTCAGTGATTTCCATATCTTCAAGGTATTGTGTGTAGCACATCCGCTTGGTTCGAGTCAAAGGAAGTTTTGACCCACCGGGAGGTTGAGAGTCGCGGCAG